GTGATACCGGCCTTATAGAATGAGTTTGGAAGAGTTTCCTCTTTTTCTATTCATGGAATAATTTGAGGAGTATTGGGTATTAGTTCTTCTTTGAAGGTCTTGTAGAACTCAGCTGTGAATCCATCTGGTCCCGGGCTTTTCTTGGTTGGTAGGCTTTTGATAGTATCTTCTATTTCATTGCTTGAAATTGATCTGTTTAACTTGTGTTAACATCTTTTTTTTTTCTAGGGCTTTAAAATGTATTGGTATATCATTTTATTTGTTGACTTTTTCTTCTTTTAAGGAATGAAGTCCCTCCAATGAACTTTCTTCTTAATACTGCCTTCATAGTATCCCAGAGATTTTAATATTTTGTATCAGGGTTTTCATTTGCCTTTTAAGAATTTTTTATCTCCTCCCCAATGTCTTCTACAATCCTTTGTTCATTCATACTCCAGGTGTTGGAGTAACTTCTATTTTTTTTGTTTTATCATGATATCAAATTTCATTCCATTATGGTAAGATAGAATGCAGGGTAGTATCAGTGTGTGTGTGTGTGTGTGTGTGTGTGTGTGTGTGTGTGTGTATTTGCTAAGACTTGCTTTGTGGCATAACATATAGTCTGTTTTGGAGAAGGATTCATGTGCTGCTGAGAAAAAAAGTATATTTACTCTTTGATGGATGGACTATTCTATATATGTCTATTAAGTCTAAATTATTGATTGTTCTATTGAGTTCTATAATATTTTTGTTTAGGTTTTGTTTGGAAGATCTGTTCAGTGGTGAGAGAAGTATGTTAAAGCCATCGATTATTATGGTGTTGTGATCTATTTGATTCTCGAAGTTGAGAAGTGTGTGTTGATGAACATAGATGCCCCATTGTTTGGGGCATAGATAGTTACGATTGTTATGTTCTATTGATGTATGATTCTCTTAAGCAGTATGAAATGTCCTTCTTTATCCCTTTTCACTAACTGTGGTTTGAAATCCACTTTACCTGATATGAGGATGGAAATCCCTGCTTGTTTACATGGTCCATGTAAGTGATACATTTTTTTCCCATCCATTCACCTTTAGTCTGTAGTTATCTTTTCCTGTGAGATGAGTCTCTTTAAGGCAGCATATTGTTGGGTCTTTTTTTTTTTTAAATAAATTCAGTCTGCCAGTCTATGTCTTTTAATTGAGGAGTTTAGGCCATTCGAATTTGGGGTTATTATTGAAGGATTGTCTTATTCCCAGTCATTATTCTCTTTTAATGCTGAGTAATATATATATTGTACATATATACCACAGGTTTTTTAAATTCATTCATCTATTGAAGGGCATGTAGGTTGGTTCCACAGTTTGGCTATTGTGAATTGTGCTGCTATAAACATTGATGTGGCTGCGTCACTATAGTAAGCTGATTTTAAGTCCTTTGATTATAGACCTAAGAGTGGGATAGTTCAGTCAAATGGTATTGTGATGCCACCTGCTTCACTTTTCTTGCTAAGGATTACTTTGGCTATTCTGGGTCTTTTATTTTTCCAAATAAATTTCATGATAGCTTTTTCTAATTCTATGAAGAATGTCATTGGAATTTTAATAGGAACTGCAATAAATCTTGGTAGTTTGGCCATTTAGACAATATTAATTCTGCCTATCCAGGAGCATGGGAGATCTTTCCATCTTCTAAGGAAAGTTCTTCAGTTTCTTTCTTTAGTGTTCTGTAGTTTTCATTGTAGAGGTCTTTTGCCTCTTTTGTTAGATTGATTTCCAAGTATTTTTAATGTGTCTTAAAGTAGCAATTTTAATGTATCTGAGAGTGTTTTATGCTTCTTAATTTTTGTGTTATACTTTAAAGGACCTTTTCCTCTAAGATTATTTTAACTGTTCCCAACTGGTCTTGAAAGTATTCTTTTTTGTTTTGTTTTGTTTTGTTTCTGAAAATACCTATTTTTTTTTTTTTACTAACTGTGGTTTGAAGTCCACTTTATCTGATATTGTGCTAGGAAAATAGCTAAGCTGGTAGAGTGCTTGCCTCACACGCACAAGGCCCTGGGTTCGATCCCCAAAACCACACACATACAAAAAATAGTATTTTTTTATCAATTTTATGAAATATACTTTACATATAAGAAAATATACCCATTTTAATAATGGGTTTTGACAAATGTATCACTAGTACCAATGCAACTACTAGTACAATCTGTTAAGAGAACATTTCAATCAAAAAATTCCTTGCAGGGGTTGGGGCTGTAGCTCAATGGCAGAGCTACAGTGTGAGGGCACTGGGTTTGATCCTTAGCCCCACATATAAATAAATAAAATAAAAATTCTTTCAGGCTCCTTTGTCATCATTCCCACTCCATCAATACTCCTAAACCCAGCACAAAAATATTCTTATCGTTACTGGGTGCCTATAATCCCAAGCAGCTCAGGAGTCCGAGGCAGGAGGATCACAAGTTCAAAGTCAGCCTCAGCAAAATCAAGGCACTAAGCAGCTCAGTGAGACCCTGTATCTAAATAAAATACAAAATAGGGCTGGGGATGTGGTTCAGTGGTTGCTGCCCTTGAGTACAATCCATGGTACCCAAAAAAGACCAAAAAATACTTGTTTTTTCATTGTCTTTGAATCTGTGTTATTTCCCACTTTTAATTTCTTATTTGACCCTTCTTGAGTAATAACTTTGTCTTTTATTTCATTTCAAAGAATCAGTTTTCTTATTTATGTATTATGTAGGACTATTTATGTCTTATGTATGTATTATATCCTTTTTTCTTTTAAAATTAGCTATTTGAGTAAGATGCCTAATCACTGCTAAAGGTGTTTTTTAGCTGAATTCCAAAGATTCTAATATGAAGAAATCGTCTCACCAGGCAGCCTGCATTTGTTTTGCATGTGGTTTCTTATGATAAAATTTAGAAAGTCAGTATTTGCATCTTAGAAGTTACTTTTATAACTATGGCTCTGGTTGCTATTCATAGACTTCTTATCATGAGCACTGACAGAATTTATATACAGACAGTTCCTAACTTACAATGGTTCAACTTGTGATCTTTCAACCTTGCAATGGTGTAAAAGTGCTACCCATTCAGTAGGAACCATACATAGAATTTGGATCTTTTCCCAGCCTAGTGATATGCAGTAGATCCTCTCTCACAATTCTGGGTGGCAGCAATGAGTCACAGCTCCCACTCAGCTGCAGGATCACGAGAGGAAAACACCGATATCCATAGTGTACTGTGTTGCCACTGCTCTTAGGTTATTGAGTTTTGAGTTCTCACATCCCGTCAAGTCTACAAAATGTTCACGTGTGTGTGTACATGAGATATTTAATACTTCGGCATAAAACGGTCTTTGCATTAGATGCCTTTGTACACTATGGGCTAATGTGTTTTGGGAACACATAAGGTAGGCTAGGCAAATGACTCTTGGTAGGTTACTTGTATTAAATGCATTTTGAACTATGATATTTTCAACTTAAAATAGGTTTATCAATACATAATCCCATGGTAAGTAGAGGAGTACTTACTCTTCATATTCCTGCTTCCATTCCATTCAATTGATCATATAATCTTCCTTATTATTTTTCTTGCACTGTTGAATAGACATTTTACTTCTGCTAGATTGTAAAAAGTTCTAAATACATTCAGAGCACATTTTTCCCTCTGGTTGTTTTTAATCTTTATTCTCTCCTTTGTCTGCCTCCTTTCTCCTCCAGTTTTTAATCATCTTATCCAGAGAAAATTAGGGCTTAGTTGATTGGTGAGTAACCTGACAGTTGAGTCCACAAGGAACAGAAGTTAAATAGGTTCTGTCACCAACTGAAACTTTTATCACAGGAAACCCAAGCTCATTGAAAACAATATCCTTAGACTTAAAAACCTAGAACCTGGGGCAGAGCCCCTGACCCTTCTCTTGATGTGCCTAAGCCAAACCTTAGGGTTCCTCCAGCTGGGAAAAACCACTTTTGTTATTGTTATTGTTCTTGTTTATAGTACTAGAGGCTGAAGCCAGAACCTCACACTTGCTAAACAAGTGTTCTATCACTTAGCTACATCTAGAACCTACCTCCCTCCCTTTCTTCCTTCCTTCCTTCCTTCCTTCCTTCCTTCCTTCCTTCCTTCCTTCCTTTTCTTAAGACAGGATCTCACTAGTTGACCAGACCATCCTTGAACTTATGATCCCCCTTCTCAGTCTCCTGAGTAGCTGGGATTACAAGCATGTGCCACCACACCTGTCCAGGGAAAATCTCTTTAGGCTAAACTCTCTGCGATTGTAATATGGCCAGTTCCTGAGTACTTATCTCCTGCATTTAAGTTGTACATCCCAATTTGGGCAGATGTTTTCAAAGGAACAGTTTCAGATGAAGTTCTGGCAGAGACCTTAAAGGCCTTTCTGTTTCCAGCCTGGTCTAACTTTCATTCACACTTGAACATGGCCACAACCCTCCCTGCCCTGCTGTGCCTTTTCTCCACTGGGCTTTTCCCAGCCTCTATAGTTCAAACCAAAGGAAACAGAGCTACCGGATGGTCACCTCACCAAGAGAGCCAGTTCTGGTCAGACTGATGTCTACAAAGGTCTTTTATAGCCTAATGCTTGAAACTCCTTTGTCCTTCCAGGAAACAGACATGGTGTCTCTCCTTAACTCCTGTTTCTTTTCAGGCCCATCTCCCATATCCCATCTGTCCTGGGTGTCCTTTAACTTATTACTAACTGCCCCACTGTCCCATCATATGCTATCAATATGTCACTTGTTCAAAAGGTGCAAAGCAGGAAGCAAAAGAGCTTCCTTGACTCAAGCAAATGAATCTACTTCCAGGCCTTAGGGAAGAGGCAGGAAATAGTTTCAGAGGAGTCTTTTGGGTGATCCTTGACCCAAACTGCACTGCAAGGTTCTAACCAGGGAAGAAACCGCTGCAGGACAGCCAGGAAATCATGCAGTACAAACACTGGACCAAAATAACTTTGGTTTGCAGCCCAAGTGATTGTCAAACTTGGTCCCTTTCCTTCCCAAATCAACCACTAAGAGTTCACATATCATCAATTAGGGTTTATTTAGCCCAATGTGTAATGGCAGAGGAAGCATCGTGGGGCAGGGGTCTTCCCCAAGAGCCCTCAGTCATATCTGAGTAGCACATTCCCTATCCATAAAGTGAGGATATTGGATAATCCCTAGTTTTTCATAGGTTCTGAGCTGGGGGGATGGGTGCGCAGAGCCCCCAGGGTCAGCCCCTCTGCATGTACAGTATGGTGAACAGTTCAGCTGGGTAGAGTCTGACTATTAGGTAGATCCTGAACTGACTTCCAGGAGGCCCCTCCGCTTTTGTCCCCTCCTGGGAAGAAAACTGTGGCATATGTCACAGATTTGGAGGACATAGAACCTTAGGAGGCAGAGGAGGTGAGGATGGGGATGGAGGTTTCCCGGATGGGCAATCAAGAGGGAGGCTGGCATAGGCGGCATTGTCGAAGGAAATTGATGAGTCAATCCGAGCACATGGTGCGTCCAAAGGCAATCCAGCAGCAGGTCCAGAATCGTGGATGTGGTGGACTACTGAGGAGGGGCCCTGCAACAAAAGCAGGCAGGTCAGGCAGAGGGAGTGCCCCCCATGCCCCAGTTACCTTTAGTGGGAATCCTGGGAACATCCTGGATATCCATCCCTCCACCTCTCTCCAATCCTAAATATGTCTGTCAGTGGACAGGAGGACTTTGAAAGTTGATGAATATTTTCAAGACCAAGTTACTCCCCAGATCTAGGGAGGTGAGTTACCCAGGTGATCACTGGGGCCAAGTTTACAGCATTTAGGAAGAGGACTGGGTCCCTCTCCTTTCTCCACCTTATCATCCTGGGACCTCTCAGCAATTGTGATGAATAGAGACTCTGGGGGAATTTGGTGGTGGACATGCAGAAACCTCTTACCGTGCCTGCAACTCTCTGGCTTGAGAACTGGTCACAGACATCAGGCCTGTTCCCTGGCAGGACAGACAACAGCACACAGTCTACTTCCAGGGCTGAGTCTACTCCCTCACTCCCTTCAGAAGCCTTTGAAACTTTTTTCCTAGTGCATATTTGCCTACCCCTTCCCACCACTAAACCTCTACCCTTCATCTCCCAGACCCCTCCCCCAGTCTCCCCATCTCTCCCCACCCATTTATTGCTTCCATATTCAGTCTACCTCCTAGAACCCTTCCCCTACTTATTCCATCCCCTTTCTTCTAATCCCCATCCCCATTCTTTCCAATTCCGATATTTCCCCAGGCCTGCCCCCATTGACTCTCCCTCCCTCCTTTTCACCCCTCTGCTATGGGAATTCTAGGGTGTGGGTGCTTAACTAAAGCCCACACAAGTCTTTCTTTAGGGGAACAGACCTAGACTCCTGGCCTCATCTGCAAAACTGGTTGAGGCTGGGCTAGGTGGGTAAACAGTTACTGACCTCTCTTTTTGGTCATGACAGCAAACAGCACCACAGCTGCCACCAGAAGGCCCAGAAGGGACACAGCACACCAGATCAAGGGGATGCTGAGGGACAGAAAGGAATAGGTAGGCTTAGCCCTAACCCTGCAGAGAGTTGCTAACCAGGAGCCCTGGAACAATGAGAGGAGAGCCACATTCTTGGGGATCCAGGGTTGAGAGGACATGGAACAGGATGGGGAGAGTAGACTCAGGTAGACAGACACATTATCAAGGTCTCCTGGCTGAAGATCCACCAAGATGAAGGACTCAATGCTGAACTGGGGTAAAGAGATCGGTCAGTTTGTCTGTCAATCAGAAGCTCCTGGGGATGGAAGGAATCCCCCCTTCAATTTAGTCTAGAGCTCAAAATAAGTCACATCTCCACCAGTCACCTTCTCCCAGCCACCCTAATCCAGTCTTTGCCAGTACCTCTTCTGCTGGCTGGGCTCCCAGGGGCTGGCACTGCCTGCAGGGTCCAAGGAGGGGTGCTCAGCCAGACTGCCATGCTTATGGGTCTCCTCCTCCTCCTCTCTCAGGCCAGGAGCTAACTCAGAAGGAAACATTTAATGAAAACACCCACTGTGGGCAGGCTTCGTGGCTTGATGGGGTCTGAGGGACTAGAAAAATGGAGCCAAGGAAGAAGAAGCCCTGAGAAAGGGACACAAAGGAGCAGCTGGGACGTTCCTCAGGGCCTCTCACTCTGTGGGTCAGGGAATGGCGCTGACTCTGTATCTTTACCTAGTTGCAAATGTACCCTCTTTCCTCTGCCACCAGCTCCCTCCCTGGCCCCCTGCATTTCCTCTGCCACCAGCTCCCTCCCTGTCCCCCTGCATTTCTTCTCCTTTGCCTGCTCCGTGCTGCACCCCCCTAGTCTTCCCAGGCTGCCCAGACTATGCAGAAAAACCACTGAGTAATCTCTGCCTGTCTTCTGCCCCCACCCAGGAAAGGTCTCTCCAGCTTCACCCTCAGTGGTGACCTTGCTCCCAACTCACTGGCCTCAAATGCTGCCTCTCTATATACCTGTGACCCTGTGGTCCCACCTGAGTGCTGGTCAAGCCCCATCCCAAGCTCTGCCCTCTGGTCAGCATTAATGTAAGGCAACACGGGGACACCCTCCGAGAGCCTCAACTACCCGAGACTTAGTTTTGTGACTGTCATCCCTACAAAATGCTTGAATTGTGGCTACAGGACTCAGATTTAGTTGACCTGGGCCAGAACATCAGTTTAGGTATCTGGCCGGTCTTTTCAGGCCATCTAGGATGGGGCCTCACCTTATTCTTGAGATTCACCATGAAAGTGCTGTGGTGCCAATCTTGCTGCCCATGTCTTGCCCTCCTGGTGCCATGAGGCTGCCTTGGTCAATGCTCTCTGAAGCTAGATGCTTGCCTGAGCTTCAGGCCACAGCCTCTGGCTTCCCCGTACCATTTCCACACACCTGCCTGAACCTGCATCCTCCGCAGCAGCAACACATTGCAGAGGGCTCTGGGGACCTGCCTCCTGCCCCCTATTCCCAGTGAGGCTTATCACAATTTGCCTTTTAGGAATTTAAAAGAATTCCTTGACCACAGAGTGACAAAGAATAACTAGGATTAACCACTATTTTTGTGGTACAGGTTAACAACTCAAGATGAGCAGATTCCACTCACCATTCAGTCTACCCTCTTATTTATGGAATACATTTCTTAATTTTATTCTTTGGGAATTAGACACAAATGATTTGAGAAAAGGAGGGAAAAAAAGTGAAAAAAAGTCAGTATCCATCAGAGAAAAGTAGCAGTAGTCCCCACTTTAGGTGGCTGATATTTTCCTCCAGCATAGTTTATTATATAGCATCTTATTTTTCTGGTAAAAAAATGTTTATTTTAGTACTTAAATACTTGAAAGATGTGGACTGCATGAATGAAATGTAAAATCAAAGTGTTTTATATAGTGAAATTAGGGTTGAGAATTTTGGCCTACATATTAATGACACTTTTTCCATTTTTAAAACTGAATGAGTTGAAATAGTTGAATTGTACCCTGCCTGGAGGTCACATACCCACTTGATGCTCCAAGAAGACTTGTCAGGTTAAGATATGAATTCAGTTCATTTTTTCATCAAACTCATTACTATAGGATGAAAAATCTTAAAGGTATAAAAATTTTAATTTATTTATATGCTCCAATTCAATTTTGGGGGGTCGGGCAAGTACCAGGGATTGAACTCAGGGGCACTTGACCACTGAGCCCCATCCCCAGCCCTATTTTGTATTTTATTTAGAGACAGGATCTCACTGTTGCTTAGCCCCTCACTTTTTTGCTGAGGCTAGCTTTGAACTCGCCATCCTCCTGCCTCAGCCTCCCGAGCCTCTGGGATTACAGGCATGCACCACCACACTCGGCTCAAACTCAATTTTGTTTAAAACATTTCTAAGGAGGAAAAAAAAAGATAGCATTGAGTATGCTGGAAAAGGAAGCAAAAACCATGGTGTGTGAGGAGGAGACTCTTAGTGGCAGGGGAATCCATAATGTGGGAGGTGATTTATCTCAGACTCCCACCCAGTTCAGTTTCCGCTCCCTACAGGGCTGTTATGAAGATATCTCTCCCACGGCCTCCCCGCAGGCACCCCCATCCCTCAAGGCCCAAGAGCCCTGGCCACAGGTGGGGGCTGGGAGGGCAGGTCAGAGGGTGATGGAAGGCCCCAAGATAACTCACCTGAGGGGAGCACCTCCAGAGAGACCCGGTGCAACATCTGGGGGCCCAAGGCTCCCTCCACCATGCAGCCGTACTGCCCTGCATCCTCCTCCTGCAGGGTGACCATTTCCACCTGCAGCAGACCCCCTCCCAGGTCGGTGAGAAACATGTGCCTGTCTCCTGGGGCTGAGCGATCCACCCCTGAGGACACCAGGGGCTGGCACCCCTCAGGCGAGAACCGGCACCACACCTTCCGGGCTCTGACATCCTGGAGCCGGTAGTGACACTGCACCAGAATGGAGCCCCCCACGGGCACCTGCAGTACCTCTGGGAGGCTGTCCTCGGAGCCTTGACCTAGGGAAGGAAAGGAGGAGGGAGTGAATGTGGGCCGGGGGCTGGGGCCACCTCCCAACCCAGCCTCTAGTGTGGGGATATGGCATCTGCAGGAACCCCAGCTATTCCTGGACACGGAAGGACGAGTAGCTCCATCTGAGTCTTACCTGCTCGTCCCAGGAGCAGCAGCAGGAGAAGCCTGGGGCCCATGACTGGGCTGGCAGATGTCAGTTCTGGGGTTCGCCTGGTCACTGACACAGCATTCTCCTGAGGAAAGGAAACATCTGTCTCCGATGGTCACGTGGGGCTCTCCGTGACCGCAGAGTGGGAGGTAGGGACGGGTGGGCATCTCCAGGGTTGGGGATAGGGAGCTCTTCCAAATGCTGGTTGGCTTAGTGCTCAGGAACTGAGCCTGCAAGCAGAGACCAGCAGGGCTGGTGAGAAGACCAGAGGAAAGGCAGGAGCCCAGGGCCGGGGCCAGCCACAGCGGGAGGTAGGGGCAGGATCTTAGAGAAGGAGGGTCTTCCAAATCTGTGGATGGAGAGCTATAAAGGAGGAAGGAATGTGGCCTACTAATGGCCAAGACCAGCTGGTTTTAAGTTATTCACAAATGCCCCCATCACACCCCCAGAGCTTCAGGACACTGCCCCTCCTGAGTGCCACTTCACAGCTGGTTACGCCGCCTCCATGGCGCATCTGGCCTGGGGCTGGCTCCTGTCTCCCCTGCACACTCCAGACCCTTTCCATAGGGATCCATGCTCCTCAGCTCTGGAAACCAGATTACTTCCTTGACAGTTACTTCTCTACATTCCTTTTCTCCCTCCATTTTGTCTACAATTTATTAATTAGTTGGATGTGGAATCTTTCATACCCATCTCTTTTTCGTACCTTTGCTCATTTCTGTCTTTGTGTCCATGTTGCTCTGCCTTTTAGGAGATTTCCTCATATTTTTCTCTACCTCTTCTTTTACTATCTTTTGGATTTTTATTCTTTAATATTTTTAATTTGCAACATCATTCCCTCCCCACCCTCTTTCTCTCTTTCCTCCAGGCTTTCTTTACTGATGGCATACTAGTTTGTTTCATGAGTGTTCTGTCCTCTCTGTTGGGAGACAATTCTCAGTTCTTCACCTTTTTTGCAAAGAGGCCTATTGAGAGAGGAACACTGCGGGTGGGGGGTGACTGTGCTCAGTCTTGCCTTGGAAGCTAGAGACTGTTACCTCCTGGGAGATTCGTAGCCTTCCCCTTCCTCCCTGGAGAAAATTTATTCATGCTGGAGAATAAAGTTCTCCCTCTTTCTCTCTCTTTCTCTCTTTCTCTCACTCCCTCTTTCCCTTCTGCTCTCTCTCGAGATAGACCAACGTCCCAGGTGCTCTACATAAACTGCAAATCTCATGATTTGGGGTTCCTCTCCTGGGATGCAAACCCACTTCCCTCACTGGAGAGACACTGGGCCTTCATTCATGCAGCCCAGTGTCTGGACTCTGAGGAACAAGGACAGAAAGTGAGTAATAATTGACCACGGGCACCAGGGTGGACAGCAGCCGTCAAAGAGATTAGAGCTGGGCTGGGGCTGTAGCTCGGGGGCGGAGCACTTGCCTAGCATGGATGAGGCATTGGGTTCGATCCTCAGCACCAAGTAAATAAAGTAAAGGTATTGTGTCCATCTACAACTAAACAAATAAAATAAAATAAAAAGAGATTAGAGCTGTCTGTGGGGACACCTGGGTGGGGCACCTTGCAGGGTGAGGCCCAGGATAGGACTGGAAAAGCCACCCTCCCTCCCTCCTCTCCCCTCTCTGTCCTTCTTTCCTTCAGGCACAAGGGAGTTGAGAAAGGGAAGCTGGCCCTGGGAGCCTGAGATGGCCAACTAGGGTAAGCTGAGCCTAGTGAGGCGGGTGGTAGGGTGACCCTCTAGCCCTGTACCCCGGGGACTGAAGGTTTTCCCAGGTCATGGCAGAAAGTCCTGAGCAAACCAGGTATTTATCTGTTCTGCCAACATTTTAATTTCCTTGCAAGAAAGTTATTTTCACATTAATAAGCCACGAGGGAGTGTTTTGTGACGAGCAGAATTATGTTCAACATTCAACTGAATTCCTCAAATGAATATTGCCCACTGCTGGGACAGAGGTGGCCAGGCAGGAGGCTGGCCTCCAGGGAGGTGTCATGTTGCTGGACATGACCGGGAGGAAGTGAGCTTATTGAGGACATACTGTGCACCAGACAGCTGGCCAGGGACTCTCACCAATGTTATTACTTTTAACCTCACAACCCTGTGAAGACGGCCAGGCATGGGAGGGGGAGTGTTTGCCGTTAGTTACGTTTGTGGGTGAGGACACAGGCTCAGAGGGACTGAGGCACTCAGCATGTCTGGCCAGGGGCAGAGGTCAAACCCAGGCTCAGTGATCTTCGTGCCCTCAGTCCAGGGTGCTCCTGAGCCCACGGCTGGGGACCCCAGTGGTGATCCCAATCCAGAGGTGGAGGACTCTGACGGGGGCAGAGCAGGGAGGAGGAAAGGCCGAGTTCTCAAGCGGAGGAAGCTCCATTCTGAGCTGGAGGTGAATGGGGGCCACTATGCCCGAGCGCCAGGGGTCCCCAACGCCTCCTCCTGTTGGTGCCCATATGGGAGTAGGTAGCGAGGGCTCAGCTCAGTCCTGGCACTTAGACTTTGTCCAGAATCTGCGGGGACAAGGCTGCTGGCCCAGGATGCAATGAGGGAGCTTGATGTCCACTGAGCCAGGGAAGCCCGAGAAACAGTTTGGCCCAGAGTACGGAGCTCCGG